CAATTATTTATTCCATATTAAATCGATGATTGTGTTTTTTGCTTACACTTAACATAAATAGCTTTACTAAATTTGCTTGTGTTTGTTTAAATTTGCGCTCATAAATGATAACCTTCTATAGTTGTACATACTTACAATTATTCATTAAAACCAGCAACTTTTCTGCAACAAGCTGGGAAGCAGCGATAGATATAGATAGATTTTGTACGGGTTATCCGGTGGTGGTATGAGTTTTCAAAAACTTTGTCCTCTAAATGCTTTGTAACTCCAAATAATATTAAAAACGAGATATATGGGACGTTCCACGTCAAACAGGCCAGTATGATTGACCTAAGTTCTATAGGATGGATTACAAAGATTAAGGTCCTAAAATGGTCGCCTGTATGTAATTCATTGAAAGCAGTATGCTCTTTTGAAAAATTCAATATGACGTCTAAACCAGTGCTGTAAACCACTCCAAAAAAAAGAAAGAAGAAGAAAAAGAACCGGTTCACGAGTATCTCTCAAGCACGGTTCTGTTCGGTTCGGTTCGGTTCAAATGGTTCGATTTCTTAATGCTAAAGGATACAAAGGATATTACAAAAAGAAGACAAATCCATAATATGAATATTAAAGGCTTTGTTACAAAGATCAAATTCAAATATCCACATGTATAGTGTAGGGGTGGGTAAATTCGAATTTTGATCGAATTTTAGTTCCAAAATGGCGAATTTTTGAAATCGAACTTTCGGGTGCTAAAATTCGGACAAAATCGAATTTTTCTAGAAAAAGTCGAATTTCGCTCAAAGCTCAACTTAATTTGGCATAACTGTGTGTAGCGAAAAATCGAATTTCAACCCCCCACTTAGGGTTGCCAACCGTACTATTATATATAGTATTGTACTATTTTTCCGGTCGGCGTACTATATACTGTTGGAAAAAAATATAGCACGCAAAAGTACTATATTTCTTCAATTATAAATTTAAATATATTTCAGTAATTTGCACGAAAAATGTGTATTAAATTGGATGACCTTTATACTGAAATAACCATATTAAATAAAATATTCTTTAAAGTAAAATGTAACTGTGAGTTTATAATAAAAAAAGGTAACGTAACTGAGAAAGAATTAACAAATTTACTTAAAATTATTTCATTCCTCCTATCTATTCCAATAACTTCGGCATTCACAGGATGAAATTTTCCATCACTTAAAATTGTGTTTACTTTTTTGTTTAAATAAAATACAATATATATTTGAAGTGTACTATATGTTTTCCAATTTTTTTGGAAAAGTACTATAAATACCTTAGAAAATGTTGGCAACCCTACCCCACTACCCATCCCTAGTATAGTGGTGGAAAAATAAATAGGGACACGACATTTTATCAAGTTTTGGCTATTTATCTTTTGTTTATTTATGTTTATTTTTTAACCATATAAAGCCAAGTTTTAAACTTTGTGCAAAAATTATAAATATTCTGCAAAGTTTCATGCAAACATTTTAATAAGAATTTCTAGGAAAAAATTTTAAGTTTTAAATTGATTTTTGATAATTTCTTTTTAAATTTTTAAATTTTTTGTATGGAAGAAAATGCATAATACCTTCAACAAAAAAATTATTTAAAATCAAAGCGATTAAAGTGAAATTAGAAAAATTTTAATAAACTCTTTAAGTTTTTGACAAATGGTGAGCCTAGCTAGTCGGGTAGACAAAACAGCATAATCAGAATTTTGAATTTACCCTCAAAATCTTGACTTAATGTTGAAACCCTAATTTTTGGTAGGTTGGAGCTTACACTATGTAGGCCTATACCTACATATGTACGAGTATACCTATGGTCAAAATAATATGAGTGCGGCATTTGACTATATTCCTTTTTTTGGTTTAATGTTCACAATTTTTTTTATAAAAGTATAGCTCGTTATATAATAAAAAGCACATAAATCCAAATTTCAAACTTTGTATGAAAATTTGAAAAACTGTGAACTTCAACAACGTTGCTCCAATTGGGTTTTGGCATTTCAAAATAAAGCCCGAAAAAACCGACGGTTCGGTTCAAAACCGGTTTGCAGCCTTGCTCTAATCTAACTGTAGATACGATTTTGCCTTACAACTTATTTGCCTAAGGAGAACTCAACACTAAAGAGAAAAAGATACAGTGGTTCTATATGTTTTAGGGATTGCTTATTACGAATCAGGACCCTGATTTTAAAAGTCCATATAGAGCGAAAGTAGTGTTGTCATATGCACCTCAGTATATGCAGGGATCACCATAATGTACTCACCTGTAGCCAGCTCTACTTCGATCTTTGTTACAAGGCCTTGTATAGCTAATTAACATGATTTTACACTTTGGCCTGCTCTTTGATGAACATTAAGTAGGCTGTCCACCAAACTCACCTTTGCCTAAACTCAACTTTCTACTGTTAGTTATCCGTGACATTTGCAAAAGGAGCCATTCCTTTTTTCCAAACGTGACTTCGACGTAGGTACATTGCTGGTGTTCGAAACTTTCGATCCCAGCGATAAGACTGAGTGCTACTTTCAATGACCTCTTATGAATAGATGTCGCACAATTTGCTGTCGTAACTTAGGAAACCTGTCCTTTTTCACCTAACAAAAAAAAAAGCACAGTAGGCAAACATTTGTTAACCAAAGTTCATTGACAGATGTAACGGTAGTTTCTAAAATAAACCAAACTTGTTTCTCCGTCAATTGGATAAAAAAAAAAAAACTCCAGCACCACTTTTGATTGGCACATACGATAAATTCGCCCAGAAGAAATAAATGCGTTGTAGCATACGATAAAATAAATTTTTGGCGTAATTAAGTATATTAGCCTCAGCTATAATATTTTACCAGGTGATGCATTGTGGGGTGTAGAACAAATTTGCTTCAAAATGTCAGTTTCGAAATAATTGCTTATACGACAATACGATATTTATGTAGGTACTTAAATACATATTCTCTTACACCTTCATCATTTTCCATTCTAAATCCATATTCAAGTATTTCACTAAATATTCACACAAAAATAAAGTTTCACAACATTTTAAAGTAATCTCACCATCATGCCTTTCATGTTAACGTCATTGTA